TTGTCCTTTAATGACTGTCAGCTGCTCTGAAATCATACAGAGAACTTAACTGGTAGTTTTACACTAGTAGTGTAAAACAGCTACTAGTAATAAAGCAGAATGTCTTGACAGTTCTTCTTAAGAATTACTAAAACCAAAGATCCTCAGCAAAGCTCAGAGTGATCTGAAAAGCTCTGAAAACCAGTCACATTATATAAAATCAATCCTTATCATTATGAATGAACATCTGCTTCCCGTAAACTTGTAGAGAGAAAAACATTTAACGTGAATCTCCTTTAAAGTCTCAATACTCCAAAACCTACCAGATTAGGGATAATTGCTAAAGATAACTAATGAAAGCCAAAACTCCTAATTTTATTACTACTCCTCTCTTTTGTAATGTCACATGTTGTCAAGATTTCCTAACCAGAATACTGGAATAAAAATAAATTATATTTTGCCATTACAATTATCCATCCAGAACCAACTGTTCCACATAGTCTGAGAAACAGTGTTTCCCAACAAGATGTGACTTTCATTTGAGCACCCTGGTTGCTACCATAAAATAAGCTAATATAGTAGTAATTATAGAGTGTATATTTTAATAGCATATATTCCCTGCCACCTGCAACAGGCAGGCAATGCTAAAGAAGTGTAGTTTTGTACTGGTAAATGCAGAAGATTTTCATTTTAAACTAGAAAGAAATAACAGCCAGCTCCATAAAAATAGTTATATTTTTAATTTAGTTTGCTGAATGGGCAAAAAATTGCTTGTAATATAAAGTATTATCTTTGCCCAGAAAGTCTCTCACAATATGTAGGTTTTACAAATCACTAGGTAGCATTTTCTGTTAGGTATCCTTTCATGATCATGGAAATCCCGCTTAAGGAAAAAGAAAATCAACTTAAAATCCTGCAATTTATCCAAAGCTATCCCAGGACACCACTCCACACAACATTCAAACCTCACACTTGTTTAACTTTTGTGTCTCCTTGGCACACTATTCACCAATGGCAGCTATGCCAGCCTTCCACTTCATATACTAAGCAAACCCACTTTGTTATATATAAAGTAGCTTTGGGAAGGAAAGAAAGAGCCCTCTCATAACTGTAAATGCAATCCCTAAAATAAAGCATTGAACATGACACAGCACATTTTGAAAAAAAAACATACTGATGAATTGATGAGCCAAAGAAAGTGCTGCACAATCAGCTATAGAAAAACTCTTTGCATAAATAACCTTACAGTAGACATTTGTTCTCTACTCAAAGACCACTTCACTGTATTTCACAATACTTTTTCTATTACTAGCTGTCTTACACAAGTCTGCTATATATTGCGATTTGACAAGTCTGACCATGTAAAAAATTCAACTACTTACTAAAAGTTGAACTTTACAGAAAAAAACATTAAAGTTAAATAAGAAAAAAACTCAATAGACTACTTTCAATTTGAGATAGATTACTTTGTCAATGAAATTCTGTGAATTATTGATGTCAGTTGTAACTTCAAAACTACTATGGAGGTCAGACAGGAAACATGACCCATACAAAGTATGCAAAAGCCCCTCCATTTCAGTACACTTTAACATTTAGTCCAATGTATTAACAAAGTATGCAGCATGTATGAGAACCCTACAACACACTATTTGTGCACATTACACTGAATTTAAGATATTACAATAATATACAAAAAGAAAAACAACTTATTTCAGAGGTTAGAAATCTACAAGATATAGGCTGATACTTTTTCAATCACGGCTATTTCAGCCATCTCTTTTTAATCAGCTGGTTTAAATCAAGTTTATGTTTATACAAATAATCTGAACACTCATGTAAATTATTACAGCTCCACCATCTGCTGTCATCTAGTTACCATTCTCAGCTGAGTATTGATCTTTTATTTTAAAAATTGACCAAAAAGATTAAGGTTTGGACCCTAAAGTATACTGAAATAAATGCCTACTTACCCACGTCATGTATGCAAAACTCTCAAAACCCACCAGCTAAATAAAGTCACAGAGCTGAATTTTGACTGAAAAGCCTAAGAACTTAAAAAATCTTCTGAAGGCATCTTGGAGAAAAACATCAAAGAGAGTGATGCTGTCAGGCACCACCTTACAGCTGCTGTCACGCAGATGTCATACTATTATCTACCATATTATTATGGAAGCCCAAGAGTGGTCCACTAATTACTTGAAATGGCTTGCAGACAAGTAATGCAGCATATCCTACAGCTTGGAAATTCTTGCATAGAGTTATCCTACCCAGATGCTGCAATACAGAAGTGACTGAAGAAAAATTAGGAATATCTGACCACAACACTAAAGCTAGTTCTGGCAACATACTGATGATAGAAACGATGCTTCTAGATGTTAACTGTAATCTTACCAAAGTGTGATCACCTGAATAAAGCATTTTAGAGAACTTCTTTGGGTTGAAATTTATGGGCCTGTAATAAAATGTCCTGAAATATAGGTCTTCTAATCCATTTTCAGTGTGTTCCACAATGGAAACATCCCATCTTTCAAGCCTATCAAATTGTGTACTGCAGGAATATATACATACTAAACACTGCAAACAACATCAGTCTCTCTTTTCTTATATGACTCAATCGTGCAGTTATACAAAATAACCACATACTGTTTTGCTGCTGTTCTTCTAAGATACTTGAGTTCTCCCAACAACAATTATAAAGTGGAATAACTTTTCATCACACATCTGTAACTCTCTGCATTTTTCACTAGAGCTTCAGCAACACATCTTCTGAGAAAACAGAAGTGATTGTTGAAGAGACTGTGGCTCAGTAACTCAGCAAGAGATTGAATAATGACTTTGAATTGCTTAAGTCTTTCACTTGATTGATGAAGTTTCTGCAGCCCAGCTGCAGCAAGCTGGCAGCAGTAAATTCTCCATACACTGCAAACTAAGTATCTGACTATTTCATTCCTGTTTCTAAGTATGTGAAAGCTGGAGCCAAAGCCTGTCATTTTACCGCTCAGTACTTGCTTCTTTCCTTACGTCCTCTAACAGAGGTACTACTGTAAGGCCAAATAAGAATAGAACTCCCTGGAGAAGCCTGCTGTGAGACATGTCATAGCATTTCTTCAAGAAATTTCCAAACAATAGCTTAAGGGTAACTTTTTCCATTAGAAATCAAGTTATTTTGAAACAGCCAATATTTATAATAAAGGCCATAGTGCAGCAGATGAATAGAATTACCGATTTTTCAATCCAAATGTACAATACTTGAAGTTAAAAGTACTTTCCAAATTTTCACATTCATTGTCGGCAAAGACAAATAAAACTCCAGTATTCTTTCTTGTTATATTGAGTAAATACATCTTTATGTTAAAATAATGTGGACTTTGTGGCATATAAACACAATTATAAGAGGACAGACAAGTCTGATTTTTTTTCCCACACATACCATAAATCTAAATAAAATTTAAACAGTTAACTTAAGAAAGATCATAATCCTGACTATATTGCCCAGATCTTCTCTTATCTTTGCCATATTTCCTTGCTGAATAGTCCAAAGTTTCTTCAGAACTTTTCAACAGCCATGTAGTGCTATCTGAATAACACTATTCTTATGCTACTTATAAATGGCAGCTTCTCTCCTGCTCAATAAGTGACTACTTATTGATTTCAAAATCACCCATCTTGTACTTCTAGCTTTCTGAAACGTTTCCTGAACTTCTTCTCCACCAAAACAATAAGTGTATTTAAGCATCTTGTATTTCAGTTACTGACCATTTCATAATATGCCTACAGGTTTTAGAAAATTGTGCTACTAAACAAGAAACCTGACACATGACAGGATTCCTGTCTATCCTAACAGACAATCCAATTCACAGCAAAGACAGCATTAATTCTACAAACCTAAGAGAGGAGCTTGGCTTTTAACAAAAGCAAAAGAAACAGGCATTTCCAATCTTAAAGGAAAACTTTCTGTGTGGATAACGTAGAAATTAGAATTTATGAACATGGGCTTTGATTACAAAAAGATCTGTTCCCTGAATACTACTGATAGAAATAGCCAGAAGTTCATCACTGGTATTAATGAGGTTCATTATGGATCTCTAAATAAAGATGGATTTAAAAACACTTTTAATCATTGGAGACCTACTTCTTACTAGAACAGTTGCAACACTCAGACCCATAAGCAAAACCCAATGGATGTAGTTTGTACATGCAAAGAGGATGTGACATCAAATGTTGCACTTATTGCTCTGCTTTCAACTCAAAGTATTTGATACAGAAAAAGAAGGAGCTGCTACAGCAGAATTACCTCTGTATTTTAAAATGTACATTTAATCTTCCAGAATGCCTCTTACCAGCATCATTTGGAAATCTGTATTTTTGAGACATAGGCAAAATTTAAAGAACAAATATTAAGAAACAATAAAGCTATCATAACTACCAGACTTACATGAGTTTTAGTCAGATACTGGCACAGAGAGTGTACTGCAGGAAAAACTTTTGATGTTTGATTGAATCCATGTGACATTATAAATATTCTAGTAAACTTAAAAGCTCTTAGGCTTTGTATAACTCTCAGAAACATCCCAGAACTTCTCTTGGAAATCCATTACTAGAAAAAGCAATGTATCCCTAAACAGGGTTTTAAGAATCCTAGGGAGGCTCATGAAATTTACTTTACAGTTGAGTGAAAATAGGTTACTCTCTTACTCTTTAAGAAACCAGAGACAGAGTAAAATGACCAAATTTTACAGTTCCTCTGTTACAAAAAAAAAAAAAAAAGTTCCTTGCATAGAACTTCATTTGAGCAACCCTAAAACCAAAATGAAATATTCCTTATGGTAGGACTAAATTTTGTAAACAGAGGTGTACATCACAATGAAAGCATGGCTTTCTACCACAAAGGCCTTGCCAGACACAGCTATGACTATTAAGAACATCAGTACAATAACAGAGTCATAATGTATCACAATCATTACCTGTGAAAATAAGATGTTTCAATGTCTGACTTTTTTTGTAGGGATGAAACTCCTTACCTTGAAAAGACTGTTTGGCTCTGTCCACTAGTTCTTCAATTGGATAACTTGCTAGATCTCCTCTGGCATGCTTAGTTTTACAGTAGGTACATGCATTGAGACACCTGTTTAGAAAATTAAAATACTCAGTGTTTCTAACCAAGAAAACTTTTATATGCACAGCTATATTTTAAAGTACATCTGGAAAAATGAGATCCTGTATCTATGACCAGAAAATAGTAGTATTCCATTTTAAAATCAATGAAATAGTTTGACAAGTGTTTTGCCTTCCTAACTTCTTTCACATCTATATAGAAGGTGAAACCACATACAAAACCCAAGTGTTGGAATTCACATATTTTTAGAAAGCTATAGGTTAATAATTGTCCATTACTAAAGAGGAATCTTCAGGCTTCCAATCCCACTATTATATAAAAGATCCAACCTGAACAAGAATATAAAGGAAAAAAGTCCTGAAAGGCTCCAAGTAGATTTTAAAAACAGCATGTATTTTTGAAAACACATTTCAGTTAATTTTTCCTTCTCTCCTTTGGCTTGTATAAAGAAAAAAAATAATGTAATGAGGGCAGAATCACCAAGTAGAAAGACAGTTTGGCACAAGAGATTGGGGAACTAATGAAAAGTCCCATAAGATAATGAAAGAATAATGTGAATGCTTTTAATTTACCTGACAATATAGTAAAGGCAGACTAATTCGAAGTACAAGGAGGGAAAATCAAAGCAAACAAAAACTACCACTCACTGTAAGTTTTTCTTGGATTAGCTTTTGGTTCCTGATAGTGCCATGAATGCAATAAGCAGAACATTAAAAGAAGCTTGTTTTGCTTCTTTTTTTTTTCCTTCTCCCCTTTTTAAAGCTGATATTGCCCTACAGCTTTTTTTTTGTATGGGCTTGTTGTGACTCATATGTAGGACCTGGCACTTCACCTTTTTGACACTCGTACCATTGGCCTCAGCCCATCGACCCAGACTGTTCAGCTCCCTCTGCAAAGCGAGCGACCTACTCTCCAGCTGATCAACACCCCTGCCCACCTTAAGAGTCATCTGCAGAACTACTGAGGATGCACTTGATCCCCTACTCCAGGTCATCAATAAAGACATTAAAGAGGACAAATAAAACATTTGGGTGCCGGAAAAGGTGAACGTTCTAACTACAGGAGTATTACTATAGAACTTTCAAAACAGTACTGAAAAGGCAAAGATAGCACCAGGTCGGTTCTGATGAAGGCATCAGCTACAAGGCTGTGTTTACTGCTTGGACCTATTTTTTCCATCTCTTACAATGTCTAGCATCTCCATGATTAGATGATTACTGCTTTGCAAACTCTAAAGATTTTCCTTCAGAAAGACTGCTCTCACATGTTAGTTCTACTTCATTTGCAAAAGCAGTGGTTCAGATAGGGCAAAACACTGCACAAAACGTTTGCTTGGGTGCCCTCTTGCCCCTGCATATTACCTTCTCCATTCAACAGTCATATTTTCTTTCAGAGAACATCTAGATAGTTCATGATTGTCTCTGCTAGACTGGATATGTTTATTATTTTTCCTGCCTATCAGACCCAAATATCTGATTTTAGCATCCACTTTAGATCAGAAAACTAAAATATACTGCTTAACCACAGCAATCACTGTTCTATTAACTAAAAACATATACAAAAAAGGCTGCCAGTAAAACATCCAACTCTCTGTTAAAAATAGGGGGAAAAAAATCCCTAAATCTGAACATTTACAACTGCTCCAAATAACCGATTCATTCCCACCCAAACACAACTTATTCATCAGATGTATCTCACCTTTCCTTTGCAAATCAGAAGCTTTCATTGTACAAGATCTGAAGCCTGATTAAAAGGTAGTATTTGAAATTAAGAAAATGTAAGCAGATAATTGGTTTATGCTTTCTCTATGTAACCTGTGTAGCAAACGAAAACGTTTTCTTCTAGGTCACTAACATCTAAAGTATGCCACAAAAGGCTCTCCCTCAAAGCCCACGGATTACTCCTTTCTCATCCTCCTCCCCATACACAACTCTTTCAAATTCCTTCAGTTCTTCCAGGGTTGCAAAACAAGTCTCCCTTTTTTTTTCCCCCTTTTCTTTATTTTTTTTTTGTCTGTTTGTTTGTTTGTTTTTAAAGCCCAACTCTCCATTCAACCCAACACTTCATTAGTAAGTAGGCTCCTATCCAGACATCCCACTGCCACATTCCTTCCCCTCTACATCGTTCACTCAGTTAAAGTAGCCTTCTTCCACACAGCTACACAAAGATGGATTGGTAACGCAAATTGCCATGTCCTCAAGAGCACTACTAAGCTTGCCTCTGGTAGCCTGGATTTGTGTGTCAGTGGGGGCCAAAAGCCAGGCTTCCCCTCCCCTCAGCAGGACAGGGGCAGCAAACATGAAGAAGGGGTCTAAATACAGATGGGGAGATCAGGTACCAAGTACTGTCCTAGGTAAAATGGACTCAACTGGATGGCCAAAGATTGCAAGCAAACTCCTATCCCTTCACAAGGGCAGCTCACAGGCAATACTGTATTATTTTCTCCATATTTTCACAGTAGTATTATATTATTTTCCTAAGATAACTAAGGCAAGGTACTGGTTACTGCACCGCAGCTGCAGAGGGACCTGGCAGGGGCATTAAAAGGCAACAGCTCTTCCAGCAGTGCAGATGGCAAACAATCCTCTAGCATTTAAATAGCCACTTTCATGAGAACAGAGCAAAGCAAGTAAAGAAAAATAATTATTTGTCATATATAGGCTAACCCACAGATTTAGGTTTGAGGTTTGGGGTTTTTTGGTGGTTTTTTTTTCTGTTCTAGAGTTGTCCGGTTGGTTTTTTCCTCAATTTTGCTTTCATTTCAAGGAAACATAAAATCAGTTTCACAGCGGACATGTCTGCCCTTATAGAACCAACACAAAAAGGTGTGGTTTACACTGATGATTTTTGTACTGATCTTTGTTTTCTCCAAAGGATATAACATTACCAGCTACTTTGTCAATCTTCTCAGGTCATCAAGAAGAGATCTAATTGGTGACAATGCAGGTTACTTTAACATCCTCCCTCTCACCCACAGAATTCTGTCAGCCATCAGTAATGTAGGTATGTATCAAGATATTATTTCTTGGCATGAATTTATTAGCCTTAAATTTAAGCTGGGATTTGGGGGGAAAAGAAAAAAAAAAAAAACAAAACCCACAAAAAAACCAAAACCCACCCCCACTAACAACTTCTATAATTTACTGAAATTTTCAAATTCTGACTTACTACAAGTTTGGTGTAAAAGTGAGTTTCAACAAAAATATTATTACAATTTTTTTGTCATCTTGCAGGAAAACACTGCTTTTTTTAGACTTTCAAGTGTGTCAATTGATCATAAGATTCATAAAAACTATAATGTTAGTAAATTATTTAAAACAAACTTCTAAATTCATTCCTGTATAATAGACCTAAACAAATACAAAATCTAAACTGGTATTGTTGTACAATAGAAAGGATTATTTATGCTATTTACATGGTATTTTTCTGTTTCCTTATCATGTATAGTGCATTTATAAAACACAGTATGCTACCTCTTTCTCTCTTCTCCTTACAATTTATGCACAAATCACATATTTCCTTACTACGTATTTTGCTTTGTATTTGTGTAGCAGTATTTGAAAAGCTCTACATCAAGAGTATTAAACACTAGAAGTATTAAGCACTAAGTAACAGTACTAAGTACTGAAACCTATATCTTGAGGATAAGTTTCACATCTTCCATCAATGCTCCTTTCCTACAAGACTGGGCTACCTGAAAACATTACAGTAGCAGCAGTTCTTCTCTGGTACTTCAATAAACTTTGTCACAAAGACAGAATGGAAATGTGGAGCAAGAAGTATGAAGAAAGAAGGGGAAGATATTTTCCAAATATCCACAGTATTATTGTATTATTTCTCCACATTTTCATGGTATTATTGTATTATTTTCCAAATATTCATAGTATTATGTAGGAGTGTTTCCAAGAGTTTTGTTACTATGGTCTTTAACTACAACTTCAGAGGGTTTGTTGATTTATTTTTGGGTAGGAGCTGAAAGCTGGGATTTGGAAGCAAATTTTTTTCCAAGTTTTGCTGCATCAGTTAACTTATTCCTACTATAAAAAAAAAAGTATTGTGGAATGCCTACATAACTTAGTTTTTATCTTCCTTGGTATTTAAAGAGATTATATAACAAAACCAAAATGAGGCAGACTTAGACGTAACATAGAAAAAGATCAATTTTAGAAAGTAAATCAGAAGAAGTAAAACTTTTAAATCCTATTTGTACCATATTCGTTAATTCCAACCTGGAAAAAGAAATAATCTTTTGGGTTACAGCTGACCAACAAAAAGATGCAGGTTGTAACTATTTGTAAAAATGCTGAACTAACCATTTTTCATAGATTTGAGAATTACCAATTCTTGAAAATAGAAATTTAAACCAAACCAAAAGCATAAGAAAGTTCTGTAGTGGTTTTTTCCCTAATAAGCCAGCCTCTACTGCAAGTTTCCAGCACAACAAATTACTCATATGCCCATGCTGTCACATACTCAGACCACAGACAGTGGAAAAAGGCTGTTGGGAACTCTGAGAATCTGAGCATTGTTTCTTACCAAGTGGCATTCACCAGCAAGTGGATCATCTAAAACCAGCCCAATAGGTAAAGCTCTCCCTAAAGATCACCCTACAATTTGGCTACTGCTCAAACACATAGGACTAGGAGCTGCAAGAGAGTATTTGTGTTTAAACTGGAAGCTTTTTTCAAGCATTTAAAGCTGATTTGCAAATGTTAGTTCATATTAATACAGGTCAAAGGTTTCTCCTGCACAAAGAAATCACAGACATTTCTAGAAAAAATAATTAACGATCATTGTGTTCATAGTTACCAGTATGTTTTGGATAATTTTTACAGTGATTCCAGAAAAAACCCCTCAGTCCTGGTTTTCCAACATACTAAACAGATTAAGGTACTTTGAATTATTAACCTTTTGCTTTGCATTATTAACCTTTAATCAGCTATGTGCCCAATACACAGAACTACTCACAGCAAAGTAAAATATTATTCACAGATAAATTACTACCATGT